GGAGCCAGGGGCGGGCGGGGCGCTGCCGAGGCCTCCCCCCAGCTCTTGTGCTGCAGGAACTCAGCTCGCACCTGCCCCTTCCTAGGAGGTGTCCGACTGGGTGCGCATGGGGAAGGCCCTGGACAACATCTGCTTCTGGGCGGCGCTGGTGCTCTTCAGTGTGGGCTCCAGCCTCATCTTCCTGGGGGGCTACTTAAACCAAGTGCCCGACCTGCCCTACCCGCCGTGCATGTAGACCCGAGCTGGTGGCCGCCTGATTTCAACTTTCCTATCCTCTCCAGGAGGAAATAGATTTTGAAAAACAAGTTGCTACCACTGCTATATTATGATCCTTTACCACCAGGGATAATAAATCAGTATTTTGTAAACACATGTTGCCTGTGCACAAGTGTGTAGGTCTGGTCACTGCGCAGGGATTAGAAAGAGGGAAGACTTTTTAAAAACTTTTTATTGATTTTGGAGAGGAAGGGAGAGATACAAGTATCAATAAGAGATAATCATTGATTGGCTGCCTCCTGCATGCATGCCCCACACTGGGTATCGAGCCCATAACCTGGCACGTGCCCTGACCGGAACTGAACGGTGACCTCCTGGTTCACAGGTCCCCGCCCAACCACTGAGCCAGTCAAGATGGTTGTTCAAGCAGCTCTTGAATGCCAGTCCTCTGGGAAGCAAAGACCATCCTAGACCTAGCCTTGCTGACCTTCCAGTTTTGCTCAGGCTCCAGCCCCATAGGACCTTCTAGCCCTGTGAGCTTCTAAGCTGGCAGCTATTTGATGGCCGCACAGGAGAGACACGGTTGCTGGGACCAAATGCCCTCAGGGCAGGCCCCCACAGGCCCACAGAATAAGGCTGAGGATGCCCTGGCCCTCCCTCCATCATTTCTTCTAGGTTTTCTTGGTCAAGTACTGCCCACCTACTTGGATCCCCAAGACTCATTGTAGATTCCACCCCACCCCACCCCCTTCGTCCTAACTCTGCTTGCTTGCCCTGGCGAGTAGCTGGACTGTGAGAGAAAACAGAATAAAAAGGGGTCTGAAGTGGTGGGAGCTGGTTGAATAGTCTTTATTAACAAACGGGATATCCAAGGCCACTACATTGAGGAGGGGTAGGGACAGGGAGGGAACAGGGCTACTTGCTGCTCACACTATATACAGATGCAAGCAAGGGGGTGTGGAGGCCAGAGCTCCATGCTCCCTCCCTCCACCAGGAAAGGACAGAGGCTAGAAGAGATGAGGGCTGGAAAGGGAGAAATGTTTTGGCTGGCGGGGTCCCCCTTCCATTCCCTGGGGTTTGGGAGGAGGGGAATCATTAAATTGCTTTCAGAAAATGAGGAAATGGTCCCTGCCCCTGGAGTGGCTGGTGACCCCCCTAAAACCTAGGGCCCAGTGACACCCCCCCAGGGTCTGGTACATTCAAGGGGGGAGCCGGCTCCCCTGACGTGCAAATAAAGGGGCCCAGGGCCCTGCCCAGTCAGCAGCAGTGGGGTACGGGGTCCAAGCCCCAAGCACTCTCCTCTTAAGTGGAGAAAAGGGGGGACGGGGCTAAGCCCACTCGATTCCTGTGAAGGGGAAGCTGTGCCTCTCTCCAGAAGATGGGACAGGCACAGCTTTGGGGGAGAGAACATGTTGGGGAAGAAGGTGGTCATGTGATCACAAAAGCATCAAGGGTCAGAGGTCACGTTCCCAGCAGGCTCCAGTGAATCAAACCAGTAAAAGCAAAAGCCCAAGGAGGGGGAAGCAGGGCGGCCTGGGAAGTCTGGCTGTGGGGGGAGAGCTCCAGCCCAGGGCCTGTCACCAGTTCATGATGCAGTTGCGGTTCAGAGTCATGAAGTAAACTTGGCTGCTGCCCCCAGAGCGGACGGAGGCAAAGAATACCTGGGGGGGAAGGAGAAGAAGTCACCAAGGGATTGGGGTGAGGGGGTTCAATTAATTGGGAGAGGGAGAGAGACACTGCAGTTTAGTCTCTCAGAATAACCCCACCCGCCCCGACCAGTGTGTTCAGTGGTTAGAGCAATGGCCCACGCAACAAAGGGTCGCAGGTCCGACTCCTGGTCAAGGGCACATACCTGGGTTGCAGGTTCAATCTTCCACATGCAGGAGGCAACCAGTTGATGTGTCTCTCTCTCCCCCCCCCCCCCCCCACACACACCTCTCTAAAAATCAATGAAAAAAAAAATCCTTGGGTGAGGATTACCCAAAAAAAGGGAAGAACTACCCCTATCGCCCTGAAGAGCAGAAGTGCTTGGGGAAGAGGGCAGCTGGCAGACCTCTAGGGTGAAAGAAAGGGGGGGGGGCAGGGGAAGGGAAAGGGCGGGCTGTGACCGAGTGTGTTCCCTAAGGGGCCCCTTTCAGGAAGACTCCACAATGGTCACCTCCTTGGTAGGAACCTAAGGTTTTGGAAGCCAGACCAGTGCAGGCCCCAGCCCTTTCCAGGGGCAAGGGGCTCCCACCTTGTCATTCCGCTCACACAGGAACTTGAGCCTCTGAGCTCGTTTGTGCATGAAGACCCCGTCCAGGTGGCCTGTCTCCACAGAGCGGATCTCGATGGCTTTCTCGCCCCAGCCCATTATCTGGTTGGAGCAGATGTAGGCTGGAGGAGAAAGAAGTGGAGGGGCAGTGAGTGGATTGCAGCCCAGCCCGCTCTAGGGCCAGCTCGGGGACCCGCCGCTCGGGGACAAGCACCACTCACCCACGGAAGTGGGCATCTCTCCCCACTGCAGCACCACATCCTTAATGATCCGCCCGTACGTGTTGACGTAGACGCCCTCGTCCTCGTAGCACAGCAGCATCTCCATGCCATCGGTGTTGGGGAGGAAGATGATGGCGTGGGGTGTGATCTGGCTCTGGATCTGGGAGGAGGAGGGCTGGAGTCCCTGAGTCGGGAGCCCAGGCTGGCGGCCCCCCTCTGCCCACAGTCCAGCTGAGCTTACATGAACAGGGATGTAGATGTCGTAGCTGTTCCCCGAGTCGACATCCACTGCGTGGAAGCCAGCACTGGAGCCATAGATGACTTTGAGCCGCTGTCCCTCCTCTACCGTCAGGTCCACCAGCAGGGGGCGGTGAGGCAGGTCAGCAAAGGACTGTGGAGGAAAGAAGGGATCAGGGGACACAGGTGGAGGAGTCAGACCTTGGAGCAGTGTTGGGGGGCTGAGGCTGGGATTACCTTGAAGGCCATGAATTTGTGGTAGGGTTTGGGGGCCCAGGCATACACCTCTACGGAATTCTTCAGGGCGATGACCAGGAACTTAATACGTTCGTATTTCACTGGGGGGCAGGAAAGAAGAGGGATGCTGGGACTTCCCTTGGACTGCGGGGCCCCTCCCATAGGTCTGTCCTACACCCCCAATGCCAGGCCCCACGTCTCTGGCTTCATGACCATTAAGCCCAAACCCTCATTTCTTCTCATAAACAAATGTGCCCTGGCCACTCTGCTGTGACCTCCTCACCAACGCGGTAGTGCCCGCAGCCCTCCATGTCCCCCACAGTGGTCCAGCCCTGCTTCTTCTCCACTTCTGGGTCATTGTGCAGAATCTTGTTCCGGAGCCAGGACAGGTAGTACACGCGCAGTTTGTTCCTTTTCCCTGAGGGGCGAGGACACACACACACACTCCCTTCGTTGGAGATCCAGATTCGGCCTCCCGCCATCCTTTTCTGCGTACCACAAGGGGTGAGAAAGTGGCCCCACCTTCCGGCTCCTGGACCAAGGGTGCCCTCTGCCCCGGCTGAAGATGGTGACAGAGAGCCAAGGAGCTGAGCCCCCTCCTCCAGGCCCTGTCCCCGCCCCCGTCCTCCACACACACACCTGAGATGGTGATGAGCAAGTTGAGTCCTTCCAGCACATCCATTTGCTGGAAGCGCCGCCGCCCAATGAGTCCATACACCTTGCCCTGCCCACTTCGGTCCAGCAACATCAGCCCGTTCTCCGTGCCCACCAGCAGGTTGACGCCTGCAACGGGAGCCCTTGGGCAGATCAGAGGCAGAGCCAGGCCCTCACCCGACCAGGAGCAGAGGGGCACACAGATCCCTCTTTTCCTTCCCAGCCCTGGCTTACCCCAAAGGGCCGCGCAGAGGATCTCGGAATTGAACCGCTTCTTGTACTTGCGAATCTCGGGGGTTTCACTGTGGGCCCGTGTGTTGGTGGGGTTCACGTTGACCACAGAGCCTTTCCGCACGTCATACTGCAGCTGATCAAGCCGACTGGCCTCTCCACCCACTAGGGCTGCGGGGGGAGAGAAGTGGGGGTGGGCTGCTGTCCCCTTACCCCGTCTCTTCTTACTCTACCCTTACACTCAGTCTCGGCTCCTCTGAATACTCAGAAGGAAAGAGAAAGACCGGAGAATGGAGGAGGTGCACGAAGGAGCTGAAACGGCCAAAGGCCTGAAAGTGCTCCTTCCGTCCCGCAGGGCCCTGTGCTGCTGAGCATCTTCCCTCTCGGGGTAAGAGGCTCCGGAGCTCTTGTTGCCTCTGTGCCAGGGCAGGTGCTCAGGTGAGGGGAGGCCGTGAGCACCTGCTTTGTGAACCGCATCACCGGGGCTTCACCTTTGCCCTCTCCAGGCCTCATGGCAGCTCCGTCCTCCCATCCTCACCTGTGATAGGGATGGTGTCCCCACTGCCTCCGGACTGATAGATGCCTAGGTCCACAAACATCGTGAACGAGCTCTTGCCAGGGGCCTTCACCAGCCCACGAGACTGGTACTGTGGGGGCAGGAGTGGGAGTCAGGCAAACATGTGAGACCCTGGCCTGTGCCCCCCCTTCTATTGTTCCTAGGCCCCATGTGCCCCCAGGGGAACCCTGGCCCAGGTGCTCTGCCCGCCCAGCAGAGTAACCCCCAACACCCCCTGATCTGCCCACTGCCAGTGCCCTCCCCTCGTCCCATGGACCAGCCTGCACCCACTTACATCACTGCCTCCATCCTTCACGGGGGGGCTTTGACCTTTGCTGCTTTCAGTGGGCGAGTGGCTGGGCTGGACCACGTCTGGCAGGTTTGTGTAACCATTGCTGTCGGCATGCAGCAGGCTTCGCTCCTCTTCAGGTGTCTAAAGGAACAGAGGGAGGGGGCCAGTGCTAGGGCCAAGGAGGGTCACAGCAGGTCTGGGAAGAATGGAGTGCCTACTCACACGCTGGACCACCATGGTGCCACCCCCATAGGGGGTCTGGGTCCCGGCGATCTCCTCCACATCATGGACCACCATGGTGCTGACACTGTCTGTATCCCCATCGCTGCTATGGGAGAGGGAGGTCATGAGGCCCTCCAGGTCCTGCCTGCCACCCAAGTACCATGGCAGCAGGCGAGAGCAGGAGGCCTAGCACTTTCAGCTTCCGATTCTATTCAAAACACGATGCACTCAGCCCCCACTGAGCAACCTT